ACTTTCATAAACGTCTTTCCAAATGTCAATAATTTATATATATATATATATATATATATATATATATATTAATATATTTATATAAAAAAAAAGGTAATCCGTATGGGTAAACCAAATTTGGAGGATGATATCCAGAGAGCTCAATGTAAATTCAGAGCAAATAAATTTGAATAAAAACAAATATGTACTTTTAAAAATGATGTGATAAATTCATTTCACCACATTAAAATTTTTTTAGCTCTGGATCATCAGATTTTTTTGTCAAATTTTGAAATTTCAACCCTTGTCAAAAGTCTCCTGATCCGCATTCCTTTAAAATGGCTTCTGTGAAATAATTTATTACATGGAACATTAAAATTGGTCTCTAAATATATTTATATATATATATATATATATATATATATATATATATTTATTAATATATCAAAATTAAAATATATATTTATATATATATATAAATATATATATATATATATATATATATATATATATATATATATATATATATATATATATATATATATATTATAAAAAGCAAATTTTTTTTTTGTCCTGAAAAATTATTATATTATATATAAATTTATTTTTATTAAATATTTTTTTCATAGATAAAAGTTTTTTTAATAAATTCAAAATTTATAACATGCAGTATTAATGATCGTTCCGTTTTACCGGATGAATGTCCTCAAAGAATTAAATTTTCAAATTTTTGTTTCTTCAGTTCTTTTAATATTTTTAACCTGTTTATCATAAACAGAATGTTTGCTTAAATATTGCATATTATATAAATAATAAAAATAAACAAAAAATATATTTAATAACATATATATATATATTCATATTTATTACAATATATATATATACAATATATATATATATATTTCAAATATATATATATATATATCAAAAGGTTATATATATATATATATATATATTCAATATATATATATATATATTTAAATATATATATATATATATATATATTATATAAATATATATATATATATATATATTATATATGTATATATATATATATTCTAAGAAGAATATATATATATATATATATATATATATATATATAAATATATATATATATATATATATATATATATATATATATATATAATATATATATATATATATATATATATAATCATACAATCGAAAAATATGTTTCGGTTTTGAATAACCTTTTGTTTATAAATCGTAAAAACAAACAGCTGATCAAAAAAAGAGAAATGTCTTTTTTTTTCAAAACATTAATTAATTGAAAATAAATAATCAAAAAATGCGACCTTTTTTATTTATCGTTAAGAGCCTGCATTTTTTTTGACACATGGCAAATCTTTTTTTATTCCTATAAATGAGAAATTTTCTCTGACAGTAGCTGCATCTCCTATATCCCCACCTGGTGTTATACATGTCATGTCGTTTATTAATACGTTCTACTAAGTTCTCTTTTTTTATGTAGCGTGTCCATTCAGGACATGGGCGAAGATGGCTCTCCATAACTTCCTATCCATATTAGCTCTTAGCATTATTTGTCGTATTTGTTGTAATAATATCCTCGATTCAATATCCTGCTATCCCTTTACAAAATCATGTTCTGTAGGTTACTCGCTACTTTTATCCGTACCTCTTTGAATTCTATATTTGATATGAACTTTACATTTTCTTGGACTACTTTTCTTATTCTGTATTTGTTTTTTTTTTGAGAGATTTCAATTGCCTTTTTCTGATTTTATGTCTAATTGTCTTTTTTGTTTTTTTGCTTCAGTTTTTCTTAAAATTTCTTATATGTGCTATCGACGGTATTCTTAACATTCTTCCGAGATTCATTTTGTTGAAATCTAAGTTTTCTCTTCATTTGTATATTTTCCAAGCTTTTTATACAGGACAATGCATTATATATATATATAGTCCAGGAAACTTCTTTTACTTTCAACAAAGATTTTTTTTTTCTGTTACATAATAGTTTCTTTCATTTTTTTTTTTTTTTTTTTTTTAATGCGTCTTTTGCTTTGGATTACGCTGTTACAGTTTTCGTCATCTGATAAAACACTTTCCCTATAGTCAAACTTCTCTTTTCGTTTGATTCTGGATGATTTGATAAAAACCGTCAGAAATAAGAAAAAAGTGACACTTGTTTACGAAGCGTTGTTTAGTCTAAAGCAAATTGTTTGCCCTTCTTGGATCTTCCAAATTTACCTGATTGTACCGACTGATTAGACTCATTCGAAATACAGACTCTTTCAAGTATTTCAGTGTGATTTTAAAATTTGAAAATAACAGGAAATGGGTATAAGACTCCGTTATTAGATAAATAATACTAATGATAATAACAGCAACAACAACGACCAGTAAAAATGGCGAACGTCAACGTAAATACGAAGAATGCTAATTGCTGTAATTAATGACTAACAGACGAAAGTGAATAAATAGTGTTATTTTTGTTGCTGAATTTTTCTTTCTTCTTAATATGACATGCTGTCATTCGCCGATTGAGCACTATGGAGAAAGGGAATTTTTAACATCTGCTCCTCCTGCTTAACGTAAACCTCTTCGCCCGAACAGAGCGATCTCGCTGCTGGTTTAGGGTTTATATAAATCACGTATATAATACATTAAAAGATTCTCTTTCTCTATCATGCACCGATAGCTTAGGGATAGAGTCTCTGGCTGATGCCAAATCGGTCGAATTTCTATCCAGGCTTGAAGCAATCGGATGACTAGACACACTTTGAACTCTGATATTTACATATATATTTATATATATATATATATATATATATATATATATATATATATATATATATATATATTATTTATTTAAAAATATGATTCCAACTCGCGACATAAGAGGTCTCATGTATCAAAACAAGAGCCGAAAACTTCAATATAATTATTTGAATTAAATTGAATTAAAGTAAGCTCTGTTCCATCTTCAAGCGAAATTTTTTTTTTTGAATAACTTATTTCTGAAATTTACGTGTTTTTATAGAATATTCATAACTGAAATCAAAATTTCCATGGTAACAGCCAGGGCGAATTGTTTAAAATAGTTAGGGGTGTGTTGGGTGTAAATAATAAGTATCAGTATAGAGTTACTTTCATAGATGTCAAGTCAGGGTAAGTGGGGGGGTGTCTAAATTTAAAGCGGAAGATGTTTTTGCCTAGTCTGGTTTACGTGTCTATGGAGATTTATTCATTTTTTTATTTTTTTTACTTTTTTTTATTTTATTTCTTTATGAAAGGGATTATTACATATAAAAACTGCTGTAACATATATATATATATATATATATATATATATATATATATATATATATATTATAAAAAAGAAGTTAGTACCGCAAATGTTTTTGGTTGTAATGTGGATTATTATTTTTAAATATTATGCTTTATTATCTATAATAAAAGTAAAATTATGGATAATAAAGCATAATATTATTTTTAAATCCACATTACAAATAAAAAATTATTTGCGATAAACAGTTTCTTTTTTAATATACACATTTTTTTATCGTTCGTTGGAACCACTATAACCTCTTTATTATATATATATATATATATATATATATATATATATATATATATAAATGGACTAAATAAAGGGTTCACTTCGATGTTTCAGCGTATACCAGAAGGAGGCGGGAGCCTACAACGGCCGAAGCGTTGTGACTATTGCAACAAGAATGAAGAAAAAAGTCCGAACGATGTAGGTAGTTACAATACCTCATGGTATGGTTTCAGGTCGATATAATCAAGAAATAACCTCCATGGTCCGATTCGAATCCTGGTCCAAAAACCAGAAAGTGAACGTTCTAAACCAACGGACACGCATCCATACATGCAAAAGGTGCGTTGCAATTTACTAAGCATAGCCTAAATGTGACATAAGTCATTCTGTGAAGATCAAACTGAATACTCAAGACAAGCTTGCTAACCACTGAACCATGTCTTGTCCATACAAGAAGGTATGTAAAAAAAAAACCCAGAAAACTTGCATCACTGAAAATACTTCATAAAATCACTTTGATTTTATTGTTTTGTATTCGATCTTTTTTCATTAAAATTCGAATTTATTGTATTTACAGTTTTTGGTGTTTGAAAAGCTGAATTGAGAATCTGCTCTTTATATATAAAGAAAAAAAAACAAGAAAAAACCCTTGACTGCGTTCAAAAACACTTCAGGTTAATAAATTTAAACTAAATAAAATAGGAAGAAAATTAATAGAATAAAAATATAATAAAAAAGTAACACCAGGAAAAAGTAAACAGTTAAAACCGAGCTGGAGAGAATTATAGCATTGCCAATCGGATAAAGACGTTAAATATAAAAAAAAAGTTCACAAACTGCACGAGAAACCCTAATGAATACAAAACCTAAAAGAAAGTGATCCAATTAAATTAAGCCGGTTTATTTTATGAGCTGATCTGCGCATGCGTCAGATTTTCTTCTTATCTTTTTTTTCACTTTCCCCGTTTCACGAGTTATATACGCTTTTATGTGAATACCTGTAAATATCGGCGCATCGATGTCTGTGCTTTCATCTATGCGTATATTTATGCTTTCCCTGTTCCTGTTTATTATGTCGGCTGCATGACAACGAGAGAGACTATCATTGCATATTATAATCTACATAATAATGTGAATAGGGACGCATGCAAATGAATGTTGTCTCTCTCTGTCATTAGACTTTTTTCTAATGGGAAATATCTGTACAGGTTGTTCCAAAAGTTACGCAACAATTGGCAGAAAACGTACACTTGTAAAATAGCAACCAAGGAAAATTTGCATGAAATTATCTGCCATAATTTGAACAATAAAATTTCCTAAAAATATATTGTCACATACAGAAACGAGATTCCATTTGGCAAATAAATATAAATTTTAATAGGTTATCAATGGTAATGCGACTTTTGGAACAACTTGTACATTGCGTTAGAAACAAAGAAAAGGGTACGTTTCTGGTATGCAATATCAGTCCTCCTATGGCTTACGGCCATTTCACGCTGAAACACCATTTCCTGTACGATCACAGAAGTTAAGCAACGTCGAGCCTGATCAGTCTCTATATGGGTGACCGCTTGGGAATACCAAATACTGTCAGATTAGATAAGCGTATAGTGTAATGAATAATGTTTCGAAATTGTTAATCGGAGCTGAGTTCCAATTCCAGTTGGGTTCGTTATATTCACGTAAGTGCAAATGCCCTTGGGAATTCCTTTTTTCCTTACTCCCGCTCTGATTTAATTAGTAAGACGTATATCACAAAAACCATTATTATCTTCAAAATGAAATAAAATAGCGTACAAAATATTTAGAGTTCGGTATTAATTGAGATTAATATGGCGCTAAAGAAAAACAACCAATAAACCAATGCTCCTATGTGGCAGTGAATTCTGTACAATTTTCACATAGATGTAGAGCAGACTTGAGGCATCGGACATATGGTTGTACAGAAGGATACTCAGAATTCAATTGGAATGTTACACAAAAAACGACGAACTTTTAGAGAAAATTGAAACAAAAATTACATTTCTACTTAGAATCAGAAAGAGACAATTTAAATTCTGGATTCATTGACCGGAGTGTTTTATTTTTATTTTTTTATTTTTTTACAGTTTATCAACCTTTTAAAGAGATATTTAAAGCCAGAAAAAAAAATTTTTAGAATGTAAAATTTATTGGAGATAATAATGATTTAGTAATAAAGTTCTACTAATTAACACATAGCTGGGGGAGAATGGTGGATTCATACCTTTTACTCATGAATTTGCGCTTAAGTGAATATTACAATCCCAACTTTACTTTCAAATCTCTAACTGTTATCCATTAGATCAGCCGTAAATCCAAGCTGATAGCACTTGATATTCCGAAGTGGTCACTCATCTAGGTACTTATCAGTCTTAATGTTGCTTAACGTCGGGATATATAATTAAGAAAGACTACATGGAGAAGCCAACACTGGCAGGAAGCAATGATGGCAGAGGAAGAAAAGAAAATGGCTTAAATGGCTAGGAGAACAGGAATTGGGTGACATAGTAAGGAGAGTAACATTGCTGGGATGCAAAGATAGAAAATCGTGAAAAGCTATGATCACCCACGTCCTGAAGGACACGGCAGAAGAAAATTTCTAATTTGGGTATTTGTGTTTTCCTTGCTTATTCTTTTGTATATTGTCGTTATAACTACGAGGGTCATTCAAAAAGTTCCAATCCTCACCCAGGAGGAGTTGGAGAAACAAAACAGTTTTTCACTATTTTTCAATATAGTCACCCTTGACATCAACGCAATTTGTCCAAGATTCTTAATCAACGCAAGCCCCTCACGGAAGAAGGTGGCACCCTATTCCTTCAAGGAACACCGCCACATGACCCCATCATTGCTTCCAAAATGATGCCCACGCGGGTCGGAATTGAGTTTAGGAAACAGGAAGGATTCAGATGTAGGTAAGTCTGATGATTAAGGGATATAGGTTAGTAACATAAAGCCACTGCTTCAACCTGAGCAATTGGAACGTGTGCGTTATCCTGGAGCAAGATGACGCCTGCCCTCAGATTTCCCCCGCATTTCGCCTTGGATGCTTCCTTCACTAATCTTCATTCCGCATAGTATTGTCCATTAATATTTTCCCTTTTTTCATATAATCTATCATGATTACCCCTTCAGAATTCCAAATAACAGAAGCCATCACCATGACAACAGATGCTGCCTGTTTGAACTTGTATTTGAATCTTTGATTTAGGTTCGAAGTGGTGAACCCTGGTTTCATCTTGAGTTACTAATCTGCGATGGAAATCCTCAGAATCAACCAGAAAGTGAATCTGGGAAATGTCAACACTTTTCGGATTCTGCTCTAGTGTCAGAATTCTTGGAACCCATCTTGCAGGGAATTTGCTCATCTCCAAGATCTCAGTTAATATAGTACGTATCGAACTAATGCATATGGACTTAGTTCTCTGTTCAATAGTAAGGTGGTTGTCATTCAAAATGACATCAACTTGTTCATCAGTGATTGAGATTTTGGGACGATTTGACGGAGGGTCAGTTTCTGTGTTGTCGCTGTCACGCTTGAATTCTGCAGCCCACTTCCTCTCAGAGGCATAGGAATGGGAGTCCTTGCCATGTGTCTTTACCATATATTCATGGATTTCCTTCGGTGTCATACTTTTCTTTTGCAGGTAATTTATGACTTCTCGGGTATCTATTTCGTCCATTTTTAGATTTGTCAGACAAATCTCATCTTACTATGGGTCTCACCTGTACAGAAATTAACACAGAAATCTGAATTAGTTTTTTTCTAGTTTTAAAAGAACAATGTTCAGTTATGGATCTTCTTTCTGCGTGAGGCTTAGACCTTTTTAACGATCTTCGTATGCTTAACCGAGTATAGCACATGAGGATCGAATTTTACGTTTGAGTCTGCTGTAGAATAATGGTAATGTCATTTTATCAGAGCATTGCTACTGGATTCCATCCATCGAAGCCGTCCTTCTTTTTTCCAGACAGTGTTTTTTTTTTGGAACATACCACTTCAAAGCGCCCGCCAGGCTACAAGACCAAAATCAAAACATAAAATCTAGAAACATATTCTTAAATAGCCTCGTCAGATCGAGACTTTCACATGATTGTCATGCATATCCAAAAACACATTTAGAAATATCTAAACTGTCAGTCGTATACAGAAATATCTAAACTGTCAGTCGTATACAGCCGCTTTCTGAGATAAATGGCTAAGAATGGCTTCGTGCGAATAAAACCCGTAGATCTTGGGGAAGACCATCCATATTCGGGCATTGTGGATTGGCGCTACACAATAGCAAACAAAGACGTGTACCAGGCAACAGATATCGCTTCACTTGAGATCATTCTACAATAGCAACTGATGAAATGGATAGAAGATGCGACTTGAAGATAAAATGGTAACATGATCAATATATTAACATTCATACGAATAAAAGCTGAGGAGAGGAAATCTTCCTCAATATCGAAAAAAGCGATTACTTGATTGGATTTACGGGACTTGAAAAATCTATTTTCCTGAAAAAAATGTTTTAAGAGAAATATTTTATATATTTCGATCGATATTACTGATTACTCGTTCAATGATTGAAAAATGTTTCCTTATACAGAAACAGCTAATATTGGCATTACAATTACCATAGGGCGATGGTCACAAAACTGATAGCATGTTATATATTAAAAAAAAGAACGACTCTCAATCTCTACTCTCCGTCGAATTAGTCTAATCTTTGTTAACGATCTTATTGCACACTATAAAAAAGGTTATTTTTTCGGTCTAGTTGTTTAAATTCTCCATTATTCTTTTTTAATCAATTCACCAAAAGCAAGGTCACTAGGATGTATATAGGTGTTATAGAATAAGTAAAAAAAACAAAAAACAAACTCGTATTAAAGAGAAATGAAAAATAAAAGAACAAGAATTAAATGGACAGAATATAACGATTGACATCGCATTTAAATTTTTAAAAAACAAAGTTGACTGGGAAGCAAGAAGCCGGAAGAGAGTTCCGCAAGAAATATATTTGATAGAAAAAACAGTTTACATAGAACATTTCAACTGTAAAACGTTGAGACTTCCCGCTAATCTAGTATTGTGCTTAAAATCATAAATTCTAGGTACAATTTGGGACGGTTCATCAAAATAAATACCATTCAAATATTTATAGAAAATAGACAAGAAAACTTGGTTACGCTGGTGGGAAACGGACTAACGCCGAGATGCCAGATCAGGACAAATAACACTGCAGGCTCTTCTTCGGATTTTGTTAAGAATCTCTAAATATATAGAAGGATCACCAAACCTGATGTGGAAGCAATTTTCAAAGCAAGGATGAAATGATAGACTTATAAATTTGTAAGGTAGATTCTAGCGAGAAAAAATTGTTTAGCACGACATAGTGAACCGTCCTTCTTAGCAGCAGAATTAACAATTGATTCAATATATAATTTCCACTCTATATCAGCTTAAAACTTTAGTTTGAGAATGCGCACTGAGTCACTCTCCTGGGGGTTAGCATCAGCCATGCTAATGGAATTTCAAAAGGGTTCTCTAAGATAATTAAAAGAGAGTAGTTTCGTTTTTGAGGCGTTAAAATGAACAAGCCACTAACTGTCCCATTTAACAACAGATTGTACGTCATTTTTGAGATCAGCTGCTAATCGAACCGATCAGATTTACTATCGAACCGATCAGATTTCCTATTAAAAAAGAAGTAAATAGTTCTGTCATCAGTATAGGTACCGAGATGAGATATGATGACATTTACATTCGAGACAATACATAAATTATGTAGCGATATCAGTATAAGCCGATATCTTGCTAAATCGAAACATCTTAAGGATGTTACAGGAACTGTTCCAGACTGTTATCGTCCAGATGATTATAAACTAATTGAAGTGAATCTCACAAGGACTATGTCGAACGATCCTGACAAAGAAGGAAACCGAATGAAGCCAGACCTTGGTTCCTTGATAAATTACTTTTTTTGGACAAAGATGACAAAACAGAAAAACCCTACTCTCGATAAGACAGTGGTTACTAGGGCCGAAAACAGAGAGACCCAGGGTGGGAGAAGAGAAAATTTGTCGGACGATCTAGACGAAGAGGGGCTCTAAATGAAGCCAGACCTTGGGTTCTTCATAAATTACTTTTTTAGACAAAGGTGATAGGACAGAGAACGCTCTTCTCTATAAGACGGTGGTCACTAGCGTCGAAAACAGAGAAAACCCCGGGAGGAAGAAGGGACAGCCTCGCTGCGACGCGAAAGCAAGGCGCCCGGTAAACGATTCACCTCCTACCCCAGCAACTGCCCTCACCGCTGCCTCTCTCGTCTGCAGAAAAAATGGTCACAGCCGAATGAAATTTGCATATTGCTACAATCCATATATGGTTTTATTTCGTGGGTGACGATCTGGGTAAAGAGTTATTTTTTTAAGCCAGAAGCATTTAACTGGAAAAAGGGACACCCTGGGAACGAACCTGTTGTCTGGTCTGAGTTGCTACGATACAATACATGCATATATTATCGATGATATATGCTCCACCGATGGTTTCATAGATTTTTAATTCTAACAAATTCAT